ACTTCAGTGTTTTTGAATAGGATTATCCCTGGGGTTTCACTTGTCTTTCCTTAGGCTTCCTTTCGGTGTCCATCAAGTTGTTTTATCTCTCCTGATTTCCTTACGTGCTCCCTGGGCTTTCCGATTCCTCCCCGGGGCTTCCTCAGGATTCCTTCGTTGTTATCCAGGATTATTCGTTTCGTCGGTACGGGTTCCCGTGCTTTTTTTTGTTGTTGGAATGCTTGTTGGTTTCTGAGAGTCGGGTCCTTATGATGTTCCAGGCTCGTGCGTTGTTTGTCAAGGGATCGTGTGCCATTCCGATCCTCCTCCTCCTCATCCTCCTTTTCCTCCGCCTTCTCCTCCCCCTCCTCCTTCTTCTCCTCTTCCTCTCCCTCTTCCTCTTCGTCCTCCTCCTCATCCTCCTCCTCTTCCTCCTCCTCCTCCTCCTACTCTTACTCCTATCCTTATTCCTTATTAGAATATACTCCTACTCCCCCCTCAGGCCGGCAGATAGCGGGCGCATCCGGGTGGTCCCATCCTAACCTGTAAAAAACAATACAAAATCATCATTTTTCTTATTTTTTCCTCTCGACATGGACGTCCTGTCGTCCACGGCGATAATCCATTGCAAAAAATACCACAAAGAGCACACGCGCGCGTTCATGTCAGAATCCTACCGAACACCGTGTGTTTGCAAGCATTTCAACATAAAAACATCAAAAACCCAATGCTTTTTTCACAAAAATTGTACAAATTTCCCGCCCGGGCTCTCTTGCTGAAATCATAGGAAAACCATAGGAATCTTAAGAATTCTGTCAAATCCAGCGATTTCACGTCATCGCGCGGTGCACTCGCGATGCTCTGTCATGCACCCAGGCCGCGAATCCTGTGCAAAAAATATTACAAAGAGCACACTCGCGCGTTCATGTCAGAATCCTACCGAATACCGTGTTTTTGCAAGCATTTCAACATAAAAACATCAAAAACCCAATGCTTTTTCACAAAAATGCTTTGGGGTGTCCTGTCAGACCGTCGGGCTTCCTCCGGCCACCTCTGGCTTCCTGCGGTGTACCGGGCCATTCTCGACTCGTCTGGCAATGCGTGCGCGGCATTCAACACGCGCTCGCCAGTTCCCGTCGGCAACCGCCATCGCGGCCGCATCAGCTGTACCAAACCGGCTGGCCGGTGTGACTTCGGCCCCCAGTTGTGCCAGCTTTGCTTCTTATGTTGTGGGAGGGCGGGTGGGACTGGGCATGCCATGCTTGACTCGCTCGAGCTGGCTAGCTTGACTCCTACTCCTACTCCTACTCCTCCTTTTCATCTTGCTCTTCTTATTCCTCTTCATCTCCTCCTCCTCCTCCTCCTCCTCCTCCTCCTCCTCCTCGTCCTCCTCCTCCTCATCCTTCTCCCCCTCCTCTCATGTCTCTTCACGTCAAGCCGGACGATACCAATCCCCACTCCCGTGGAGTTCTGTCCCAATCAGGCGTGTGCCCTCCTCTCATCGACTTTCTGAGGAAGGCTGATAAGAGCTGAGGACGCGGGGGGGTATTCGTACAGGCGTCGAGCGCTCTCGAAATTATTTCTCTGCCATCTTGGCAGCAAAGTATATTCGCTCGATTGGCCTTGTCGTTCGTGCATGTCTCTCGATCTCCGTAGACGCAGCTGCCCCAAGCATTTTCTTGCCCGTGGCTGCAGGTGTTCCGATCTCCACCGCAAGACGCCATAGATGCAGCCAGAGGGCGACCGAATCGACCTCGACTTGCTGGAGGGGAGGCGTGGGAGAGCGCACCAGGCTCAACTCAGTGCGAACAGGATGCATGTGAGGGGGTGGGGGAGAATCGGAACGGAGGTAAAAGGAGGTGGACGTGAAGAATGGCACCTACTCCACTCTCACCCAAGGATCTGTTCCGCTGCACCGATGCCGCCTTGCGCAGAATAACTCGTCCTGCGTGGACGACGCCGGAAGTGCAATCATAGGGTTTGTCCATTTTGCCCATGCCGAGCGCGTCTTGGGCATCGCGAGTGGGATCGCTGCGACTGACCTCAAGCTGACCCAGTGCATGGTTACCCTGGTGAATGCCGCCTTCTCCGAGCAGGCTCGAGAGGAGGTCCGCCGGCTCTTCGAGGAATTCGTCCTTGGCTTCCTCGACTTCCAGATTGTCGACATGATCCGCTACATGGGCTTCTGGTTTGGCCCCTCCCTGACCTCATGGCGCCAGTGGAAGGGGCCGCTCGCTAAGGTCGAATTTCGCGTGCGTGAGGTTGGTACTAGTGGGCCCCAGTTTCTGCAGCTGCCGTCGCGCACTCCTCCAATAGTTGTCTTGGTATTGTCTTATCCCGCTCAATTTGTTTTGTTGCCCTGCAGCGCCTTTGGCTTGCAAGTTGGCTATTCGGCGCACTTGCTCAGGATTCCTCTCGGCGTGTGTGTGTGTTTGTGTATTTGTGTACTTGTGTGTTTGTGTGTGCTGCGTCTGTTTGTATGTTGATGTTTCTTTCTGTTTGTGTGGTTGTGTTGTTGTGTGTTTGTGTGTTTGTGATTGTGCGTTTGTGTGCTTGTGTGTTTGTGTCTGTGTGTGTGTGTGTGTTTGTGGGTTTCTGTGTTTGTGTGTGTTTCTGTGTTTATGTGTTTGCGTGTTTGTGTGGTTGTGTGGTTGTGTGTTTGTGTGGTTGTGTGTGTTTGTGTGTTTGTGTGGTTGTGTGTTTGTGTGTTTGTGTGCTTGTGTGTTTGTGGGTGTGCTTGTATGTTTGTGTGTTTGTGTGTGTTGTTTGTGTTTGGGTTTTGGGTGTTTGTGTGTCTGTGTGTTTGTGCCGTTGTGGTGTTTAGGTGCGTTTGCGCGTGTTTGTGTGTTTGCGTGTTTGCGTGTGTGTGTGTGTGTGGTTGAGTGTTGTTGTGTGATGGTGTGTGGTCATGTGGTTGTGTGCTTGTGTGTTGCTGTGCTTGCGGGTTTGTGTGCGTGTTTGTGCCTGTGTGTGTTTGTGTGTTTGTGTGTGCGTGTGTGTTTGTGTGCGTGGTTGTGCTTGTGTGTAATGGTGCGTGTGGTTGTGTGTGCGTCTGTGTGTTTGTGTGGGTTTGTGTGTGTGTGTTTGTTTGTGTGTGCGTTTGTGTGTGATTGCGTGTGCTTGTGTTTGTGCGTGTGTGTGCGTGTGCATGCCTGCGTGTGTGCAAGTGTTTGTGCGTGAGTGCGTGCGTGCGTGGGTGTGGGTGTGTGTGTGTGTGTTTGTGCGCGCGCGTGTGAGCGTGTGCGTGTGCATGTCCGAGTGCGTGTGTGCGTGCTTGTGCGTGCGTGTGTGCGTGCGTGCGTGTGTGCTTGCGTGTGTGCGTGTGTGCGTGCGTGCATGCGTGCGTGCGTGTGTGTGTGCGTGTGTGCGTGTGTGCGTGTGTGTGTGTGTGTGTGCGTGTGTGCGTGTGTGCGTGTGTGCGTGTGGCGTGTGTGCGTGTGTGCGTGTGGGCGTGTGTGTGCGTGTGTGCGTGTGTATGTGTGCGTGTGTGCGTGTGTGCGTGTGTGCATGTGTGTGTGCGCGTGTGTGCGTGTGCGTGGGTGTGCGTGTGCGTGTGTGCGCGTGTGCGCGCGTGCGCGTGTGCGTGCGTGTGTGCGTGTGTGCGTGTGTGCGTGCGTGCGTGCGTGCGTGCGTGCGTGTGTCTGTTTGTGTGTGTGCGTGCGTGTGCGTGTGTGCGTGCGCCTGTGCGTGCGTGCGTGCGTGTGTGTGTGTGTGTGTGCGTGTGTGCGTTGTGGCGTGTGTGCGCGTGTGCGTGTGTGCGTGTGCGTGTGTGCGTGCGCGCGTGTGCGTGTGTGCGTGTGTGCGTGTGTGCGTGTGTGCGTGCGTGCGTGCGTGCGCGTGCGTGCGTGTGTCTGTTTGTGTGTGTGTGTGCGTGCGTGTGTGTGTGTGTATGTGCGTGCGCCTGTGCGTGCGTGCGTGCGTGTGTGTGTGTGTGCGTGCGTCTGTGCGTGTGTGCGTTTGTGCGTGTAAGTGCAAGTGTAATTGCACATGTGTATGTATGTGTATATGTAGTATGTATATATTTATATATATGTACACGGATACGTATGTGTATATGTGTATGTATATATATATATGTATATGTGTGTATGTGAATGTATATTATAAGTATATGTGTATGTGTGTGCGTGTGTGTGTGTGTGTGTGTGCGCGTGCGTGTGCGTGTGCGTGCGCATGTGCATGCGCGTGAGCGTGCGCGTGCGCGTGTGCGTGCGTGTCAGCCTCATCATTGGCCTCAGCTCAGGGCGTGGGGTGGCCCGCAGGCTCCGTCGTGGCTTTCCAGGCGTGATGCGCTGGCGCGGGCTTCGCCGACTGCTCACGGTCGCACCAATCGTGTCAAACTCTGTGCGCCGCTCGCATTGCCATGGACGACCCTCCTTGCCACTCGCGGCAGACTTCTCGACCTTTTCGTCACATGCCTCGCCAAGTGGTGGCGCATGTAGCGGTAATCATTTTCAACGTTGGTTCAGGATGATGTGCATGTTATGTGGTCTGCGAGTCGGATCCTTCCCTCTGGCTGGTGCATGTCTTATCTGGTTGTTCACGCTGACGGTCGCGAGCGCAGTATGTTTGTCGGCGGCGAGCGAGGGGGGGGAGTGAGAAGGAGAAGGCCTTCTCAGAAGGCTCGGAAGTCCCCCAGCCTTCTGAGAAGTTTCCTAAACCTTCCCCGAAGGCAGAACAAAAACTTCTCTGAAGGCAAGAGGGCTTCTGAGAAGTCCCGCCGCCTTCTGATAAGGCCTTCTCCTTCGCACTTCCCCCCCTCGCTCGCCGCCGAATTTGGGCGCCGCTGGCGCCAAAGTATCCACCACTATCCGCACTGCTGGCGCTTGAAAGCTGCACCGGAGGAGACTCTTCGCCGTACGCGGCCCGTGTGCCGCCCTGGCTGCTCGTCAAGGGGGGCCAGAGCAGCAATTGCTCGTGACCGTCCAGTACATTTTTCACGGTCTCGCGCAACGCGCCTACCGCAATTGTGCCCGCGAAGCTCGGCCTGTCCCTCACGACTTTGCGGTCGCTCATGCCCGCGCTGCGTACAGGGCCTCGACGTCGGTTAGGCTTCTGGGCCACTCTTCCCTGAAGCGTCTCTGACCTCCTCCTTGGCATCCCGCCACTGGAGCAGACGGTACTCCAGATACCTCGACCTCCCTCGTGAGCCCGCGAGGCGTTCACGGGTATTACCATTGCCCTGCCGGCGGCCCTTGCGATTGTTTGCCGAAGCGCGCCGCGTCCGACCGCGCCGTGGTCGCCGTGCCCCAGTTCGAGACTGGCCCAGGCGAGCTTTGCCTCTCTTGCTGCAGCTTCGTGCGCTGCGACTCTCAGTATCGTTTATCCGATCCCCATCCCGATCCCCATCCCCTTCGAGACCCCCACCGAATTGCCGCCCCAGTCGGGGATACACCCCTCGAAACCCGAAGGGAACGGCCTATATCCCCATCTAGAGGGTTAGTCGGCCAGTGGGGTCCGGGCCACGCCGCTGGGGATGGGGATCGGTTAAACGATATTCAGACTCCGCCCACGGCGATTGCCATGCTTGCGAGCTGCTGGTCTGCGACGCAGTCCGTGTCCCCCCCAGCCTGCGGCGCTTGCAACAGCGCCCGAGCGGGAGACCGCGGAATCTATGGACAGAGGCTCAGGGGGCGAAACGCCGAGGCCGTTGAAGGGGAACCCCCGCGACGCCCGCGACCTTGGTGGCGACGCCCCCGCGGGCGACCACGCCGACGCACGCAGCGCTTCCGAGTGCAGCCTCGGCCCCACGCTTGCCGACGCCTGTTTTTGCTTCACGGCCCAAGTGCTGTCGTGTTACCATTGCACCTTCTCCTTCAACCGATCAAATTGTGTTGGATTGTCATTTGCGTCATACACTACATTCGTTGTCTAGTAATTCTATGCACTGTTCAATCAACCTGATCAAGGGAGATGTTACCAAAAATCCTGGGCTGCTCAACTTCTGCTCAGGGCGCTGAGGACTTCGCCCGCGGCTTGGGGGTCCACGTGCGGATCCGAACGCAGAGACTGGCACCCGGGGCCTGGGCTCCGTGGCCTTGGCTGGCGGCCAGCCCGTCAGTGCCTGCGTTTGGCGAGGAGTTCGTCACCCTTCTCGGGTGCGAGGTGCCGATGCCCCCCGGGCTGAGGCTCGCCACGCGCGGGCTCCCGGTGGGCGGAGCAGCCGTTCTACATCGGCCCAATGAAAGTTCCTTGAATTTTCGTCGTGTCGCTCGCTAGCGGAAGCCGACGGAAGTAAAACGAGGCGGAAGACGGCGGAAGGCCGTTGGAAGGCTTGCGGAAGGCGCGGGAGTGAATGACAATTGTTCTGGCCTTGATGCTGCCCTTCCCCATTTTTTATTCGGTGCCTCGCTGTGGCTTTCGTGCTTCGGTGGCGTGGGCAAGAGCGAGTGGGAGGCGGCCCCACCCAGTGTGTCACGGTAGGGAACAGCGGCAAGGAGATCGCGGCAGTGGGCAGGCGAGCAAAAGCATGTGAGGCTGGACAGACAAAGAGAGTTCAAGAACTCCTGAGGAGGAAGGGGAAGGAGAGGAGGGCAAGGAGATGGTTGGAGAAGGTGGAGGAGGAATATGTGAGAGATGAGAGATGGGCAGGAAGAGCATGTAGGAGTGAGTGTGGGAGTTCAAGAGATGGCGAGGGCGATGGGGTAAGTAGGGAAGCGCCCAGCTGACACGCACGGCTAGCAGCGGTGCAGCACGGGCGTTTGAGTTTGCGATCGGCCTTCTCCTCCTCCTCCTCCTCCTCCTCCTCCTCCTCCTTCGTTCTCAGCCGTCTCATCCTTGTCCTAATTGTCCTTCTTCCTCTGCCTCCTCCTCGGCCTCTTCCTCCTCATCCGCCTCCTCCTCCTTTGCACTGTGGCCTTCAATATGAATCTCGTTTGGCGGCCTGTTCCAGTAGCGAAGATGGTCGACTTCTGCGAAACATCTTTGCTCATTAACGTCGCAGACGCCCTCCTCCCTCCATCCCTGCTCTCTCGTCCCCTCCTCTCGCCTCCCTCCTGCTACTGCTCCTCCTGCTCCTCCTCTGGGTTACCGGCGTCGCGGGCGTAGCCCCAGGCGCGTCTCCTTTGGTGTGCGAGCTTCGCAGTCCGGCTTCCTTCGTTCGAGGCGCTTATCTGCCAGTTTGATATGAATTCAGAAGCGAGAAAGGTTGTTCGAAGGCCTCTTGCTATCCTGTGCGGCTTGGCTTTGCGGTCGAGGCGTTGGGTCTTGTAGTGTTTTTTGCTGAGAGGTTCAGGTTTGTACATAATATTGGGATGAGCGATGGCCTACCGCGCCAGCAGTCGGGTGCCTGAGCCCGGTGCATAGGGAGGTCCGGGTCGAAAATCTTCGGGCCCTCCTACAGGTACCTGTACAAGCGCGCGATCAGCCTTGCACAAAGATAGGGAGGGAAAGACAGGAAAATACAGCAACGGAGCCCGACACTGCCGCGGCTAGCACCTCGAGAACGGAGGGGAAGGGTTTGGGCAGGCAACGCCGTCTTACATTCCTCGTGCCATTCATCCTTTGGCCTCTTGGCGTAGTCTGCAGTCGCGCGTTCTGTCCTCTGGTCTGCAGCGCCGCTTGCTACTGGAGGGTGGAATTCGAAAAATGAGCGTTCCAATACGCCCCAACGTACCAAGGGCACCGTAACGAAATCAGCTCCACTTGTTTTGCCCCCTTGGTCGCTTTCCTTCGAAAGCTGCACTTGATGGGCCCACTTACTTCTCCCGTCCTCCCGCTGTTTGGAAGACCTGAAGCAACATGCGCACGCAGGTTAGCCTCGATGCGGTGGAGCGAGGCTTAAGTACTGCATCGCAGGGAGCAGCAAAAAGGAAACGCGAGGGGGCCCAACACGCGCATGCCACGGCACAAAGCGGTGTCGGGCCATGTGATTGCGTCTGCCCACGGGCCCTTATCTTGGCCGTCTCGCTTCTATGCCGCGCCACAATTTGAGATGCAGCCGGTCAGAATGACATAGTGGTCTTGATGCTACGTCTTACTCATTTCGTATGCGCTTGCTCGGTCCACGCAGGTCGTTTGGGGACTCCATGCGTGTGCGTAAAGGTTTCTGTGGCAGGTCCGAGCTCAGACCGCGTTGCCCCATGTGGTACACCTGCGGCTTGGCTTGGCAAGGCATAGGCACTTACATTTCCCTCCAGCCATTCTGAGTTGCTTCGGCGGTCACATTCTATCACTCGCAATGACGGTGGATGTCGCGATACCCCTGCTGCGAACACTGGTAGTGGATGAAGAGCTTATTATGCATATGGTTGTTCGCGCTCCTCAGATAGGATTGGGAAGTGTGGGCAGAGAGCGTTGCAAGATATAGCAGCGTGGGGTCTGGACGGTTGAAGATGTCATGGATCGGATTGGTAGTGAACAAACAAGGGCAGGTCGATTCGCGCTATGGTGTCGCATTTGGTTGTTCTGTATCAGCGGCTCTGACCCTCGCGGTCGTGGGCGCTCTTACCACGCGCCAGGTGGGATGCGTGTTGACGATTCTGTCACATGAAACCGCCATACACTTGCATGTTCTCTGCGCGATTCGATGGCATTGTCGCATATGTTATGCTTGCTTTAATGTTGTGATTCACGTGTCGTGACTTCGTTGTTCGTTACCCAGGAGGGTTGCCCATTCCGCAATGTCGCGTGTGCATGTTGTCTATCTAGTATTGCAAGTTCTATTCGTGTTCCGCTCCCTCATCTAGTATCCCGATCGCAATCACCCTCGGTGTTCTTGACCCTGTTCTCCTTACTTTTGGCATCCTCCGCAATTGTCACCTCGGGGCAACACCTGATCTTCCTCTCCTAAGTGCCCTTCTGCATATTTCATCGCCGATCGTGCGTGTTGCTTGAGCTGCGCGGTACCCAACATTACTCGGCAGCACCGGGCAGGCGTTTTCCATCGGCGAGGGTATAGTCTCTGAGGCGACAGCCTTGAGTGTCGCAGTTCCTGGGCTTGGTGGGGACTGGACCAGATGGGAGCATCTCGGTTGCCTGACCCTTAGTTGCTCTGGGCTAGCGGTATGTCAAGAGCGCCTATCCATGCGATCCCAGTGGTCGATTGAGGCTTCATCTTTCGATCGCAATTGGTCGACCGATCTTAAGCAGAAGTGTGATTGGGCAGCTTGCTTGGGCGCATTGAGGTCGCAATTGGAGGGCCGTGTCCATCATGAAGCCCAAAACAGGTCTGACGCCCTATCTTCTACGCTCTGAGCTCATGTATTGTGGGATGGCTCTTGTCGCCAATGCTCTGTTTTCGCTTGTATTGATATCCTTTCGCAAGGCACTCTCAAAGACATTGCGCGGAAATTAATACCGTCTCTGAGTCACCCTAGAGCATGGTAAGTGCAACATATGATGCAGGAGAGGCTTACATCAAGCAGGGGCAGTATGTGTAAGCGTGCATCCTGTTATCAGATTTAGTCTGACGTGAGTACGTAGATTCTCTGTCATATATTCCTATTTATCCAGACTCTGCGGAAACCCTGCCCCCCCCCCCCCCAAAAAAAAACGAGACCCCACGCATCCTTGGCCCCGGGGGCCCCCTGGACGCCCATGCAGGAGGCCCCCCAAGCTGTCTGGAGCTCATGGAAGCCCCTACTAGGCCCAGACAACGGGCCCAAATCGGTCAGGAGGGCGGCCGAACGGCCCCCCGAGGGCCCCAAGAAGCCCCAGATACCCAACAGACGCCCGAAGACGACCCAAAGAGGACCCCCAAGAGGCTTTCCAAACGCAGAAAAACATTCAATGTTCAATGGTTTTCGCATGATTTCGGGAATACTCTGTTGTTCGGTTATCGGGGCGTCCGAGACCGCCCAGTGGGCCAGAAAATCGCACCAAAATTACCTGATAGGGTTTCCAGCCAATCCAAGAGAGACCCAAGACGGCCCAACAAGCCCCCAAGTGAGCCCCATGATGGCCCGAGATGGCCCCAAGACGCCACTCGAAGCATTCCAAATCATGACCCAGTCGTTCAAGGAGACCGCGGTTGGATGCAGGGTGGCTTGAGGAAGCCCCCACGGGTTCCAGAAGGCGGTCGGGAGGCGTCCAGAAGGCCCCAAGAAGCCCTTGAACATATTCGTAAGGCTCCCAAGAAGATCTCCAAGGATGAGACTCCACAAAAAGAGCTGAGGAGGATGGGGAAGAATTCGCAGGGTGGGGCCAGAATGAGGAAGAGGAAGAGGAAGCATGAAGGAATGATAACACATCGCATTGTTATAACGACGACGGTGACGGAAAACGAAACCAGGAGATGTCCTTAAAGTTTCTGTTTCACAGTTTGCCGTTCCGCCTGCATGCAACACTTAAGGACCAAGGTGCATGGAACGAAGCGCCATTGTACTCTTGTATGCCTAAATATACATACACACATGCATGCATGCATATATACATACATGTATGCGTACATACAGGCATACGTACATTCATACATACACACATGCGTAAATGCATACATACATGTATAAATGCATGTGTTTGTACACATACGCCCATACATAAATACATACATACATACATACATACATACATACATACATACATACATACACACACATACATACATACATACATACATGCATACATGCATACATGCATACATACATGCATACATACATGCATGCATACACATATACATACATACATACACACATACATACATACATACATGCATGCATGCATGCATGCATACATACATGCATACATACATACATACATATATACATACATACATACATACACATGTATATGTATACATACATACATGCATACAAACATACATACATACATACATACTTACATAGATACATACATACATGCATACATACATACATACACACATACATACCTACATACATGCCAGCATGCATGCATGCATACATACACACACATACATACATACATACATGCATGCATGCATGCATGCATACGTACGTACGTACATACATACATACATGTATGCATGCATGCGTGCGTGCGTGCGTGCGTGCGTACGTACGTACGTACAAATACACATGCAAATGAGCATGCGTTTACATACACATCGGCATACATGTATACATTTACAGTTACATACCCATACACACATGTATATATATATATATGTTCCTTTTCCCTATCAAATGATAAGGGACCCCCCCCCCCGGATGGGCGTCACCTAATTCACCACCTCCCCCGGACGAGGGTGGATCGTTCAAGCGAAAAGACGCTCGTTCGAGCGAAAAGGTAATCCGTTCCAGCGAAAACCAACCGAGCGAAAACAAATCCAGAGAACAGCAGATAGCAGCAGAGAACAGCACAGAGCAGCAGAGAACAGCAGAGAGCAGCAGAGAGCAGCAGAGAACAGCAGAGAGCAGCAGAGAGCAGCAGATAGCAGCAGAGAACAGCAGAGAGCAGCAGAGAACAGCAGAGAACAGCAGATAGCAGCAGAGAACAGCAAAGAGCAGCAGAGAGCAGCAGAGAACAGCAAAGAGCAGCAGAGAGCAGCAGAGAACAGCAGAGAACAGCAGAGAGCAGCAGAGAGCAGCAGAGAACAGCAGAGAACAGCAGAGAACAGCAGAGAGCAGCAGAGAGCAGCAGAGAACAGCAGAGAACAGCAGAGAACAGCAGAGAACAGCAGAGAGCAGCAGAGAGCAGCAGAGAGCAGCAGAGAACAGCAGAGAGCAGCAGAGAACAGCAGAGCAGCAGAGCAGCAGAGAGCAGCAGAGAACAGCAGAGAACAGCAGAGAACAGCAGAGAAGCAGAGCAGCAGAGAACAGCAGAGAACAGCAGAGAACAGCAGCAGAGAACAGCAGAGAACAGCAGAGAACAGCAGAGAACAGCAGAGAAGCAGCAGAGAACAGCAGAGAACAGCAGAGCAGCAGAGAACAGCAGAGCAGCAGAGCAGCAGAGAACAGCAGAGAGCAGCAGCAGAGAGCCAGCCAGAGCTGAGAACCACGATTTCGGGCTTTTCCGGCCTGGATCTCTCCAAAATCGTGGTTCCCGCCATCCTCCTGGGCCGTCCGGTGGCTCCCAGGGGCGCCAGCCAGAGCTGGGAACCACGATTTCGGGCTTTTCCGGCCTGGATCTCTCCAAAATCGTGGTTCCCGCCATCCTCGGGGCCGCCGTGGGCTCCCAGGGGCGCCAGCCAGAGCTGGGAACCACGATTTCGGGCTTTTCCGGCCTGGATCTCTCCAAAATCGTGGTTCCCGCCATCCTCGGGGCCGCCGTGGGCCCCAGAGCCGGGAACCATGATTTCGGGCTTTTCCGGCCTGGATCTCTCCAAAATCATGGTTCCCGCCATCCTCGGGGCCGCCGTGGGCCCCAGGGGCGCCAGCCAG